GAGGATGTGGGAGGAGCATTCCTGGCAGAAGGAACAATGCAAAAGCCTTGAGGCAGAGGTGATTTTGCAGGTTGGCCAACATGTTTCTCTGTGGTGGAATCAGTGTCTTGATAGCATGTCTAGGGACTATAATGTTTGGGCATGAAAGTGAGATATTTGAGGGCATGAGGTAGAGATTTTTTGATAGTTTTCAATTAAAGTCCAGGCCTTTGGTAAAGGTCAAAGTGAGAATATGGGAACATGGGAAAAGAACAGTGAAGGGTGCAGTGTATATTCCAGGACAGAATTTGGCTTGCCCAGCTATGGCTTAAGATGTTTAAGGTGCTCCAATGATAAGGTTTTTTAATTTTTATTTTTTAAGACATAAAGTTCTTCTCACAATTCCTAGAGATTTTTTAGTTAATTTTTTAATTTTTTGCCAACAAGCATGTTAATATTGATCAAGAACATTTTAAATGTGATAGGGAAGGGGAATAAGAGAAATTATCAAATAAATAATTATGATTTAGGAAGAAGAAAACTTTGCAACGGGTTGTCTGCAATTTCCAGAAGGAAAAAAAATCAAAACAACTGATTTTATGTTGAGAGTAAGACTTGCCTACAGGGATGTGTGTGTGTGTGTGTGTGTGTGTGTGTGTGTTTATATAAATACATTCAAGGAGGTAAACATAGCTTTATTGCATCATAAAACTGGATTAAATGACAGGAGCATAACAAAAGAAGGCTGTATCTTTCTTTCATGAATAAACCTGATAGACATGGAAGTGAGTATGTTAAGAAATTGCTAGAAAATTTTCAGCAGAATTGCTGGAAAGTTGCTAGAAGTGGCTGAAAAACGTTCATAAAGATTTATCTCTTTTTTTACTGGCATGAAGGAAAAAAAAGAAAAGCCACTGAAAGAAATAAAATAAAATTCTATAGTCCAAGATTCAAAGAAAGAAGGACTTCAGAGTAACAAAAAACTTTCAGACATTAATTTGTGACTATGCAGCAACCAGTGATTCCAATTTGCAGATGTATTTGCTAAACTGCTGCCAGTAATCACTGAGGAATTACAGAAAATGGGAAAGATTATAGTGTCAGCCAGGGTTCATGGCAGGAGGCAGAAACATTATAAGTAGGCAAAGATTTAATACAGTAAATTGGGTGCTTGCAAATCATTGGAAGGCCTGGAGAAGTGAACTCTAGTCTGGGCTTCCTGGAAGGACTCCCAGACATGAGAGAGATGAATCACCATGGGAGCCCCAACCTCTGAGAGTATCCTAAAAAAACTGAACTTCTGGAATACATGATTGTAACAGAGATTTGAAAACCACAGAGCTGGAACTGTACGCTCATTATTACCATCATCACTACTCCGTCATGCTGGTGACTGGGCTCTGGAGACCACTGTTGCCTCTGCTTCAAACCATCTTCTCTCCCAGGATTCTGGAAAAGGACATGAATCACTGCTTCAGAAGAAAATTTCACATCTTCATGAGACTGTGCTTGATAACTAAGAAATGTTAGAAGATGACCACCCTCACTTTTGCCTTGCAAATCTCCCACGGTTGCATCTGCCTGGCAGGACCATATTGCAACCCAGAATACTAGCTGCAAAAGCATCTAGGAATTGTATGTGTGTCTCTCAAGTCTCTTCAGTACAGGAAGGCATGATACAAGGGAGTAAATGGGCCAAACCACCATATTCCATACAACTGTAGATAGGCGAAAGTTATTTTTTTAGAAGGAAGAAGGAGGTTATAAGAGACACCTACTGAACTTGATGTTGGTCCTAGTACTGGTTAGAAATGATACCCTGTGAGTCATTAAGAAAGCATGTAGTGGTGACTGGGAATAGGGGTTTCATTAAAAACAAATCACACCAAATAGCTTATTAAAGTGGTAGGTAATAGAACTGTATGGCTATATGTGTCTGGATTTTAACAAGGCTTTTGTCCCAGACTTTTATAACATAGGACAAACTTGTGAAATGTGCTCAGGATAGTGGTATAGTTGAATGGATCTGTAATTAGTAGAAAGATTAAAAACTGCTGATTAGTAGATACATGTCCAATTACAGCAGATAAATATCAAATATATATATATATATATATATATATATATATATATTATCCTGCCCTGCATTACACAATGACTCCAGCAAGGACATTGACTTTAAAAATAGTAATAGTCATTATTTATTGAGTGCACACTCTAGGCAAGGGGCTGTAGATACATTACTACCTCATTTACTCCTTATAACAATCTTGTCAGGTTGTTATTACCTCCATTTTTAAGCATGTGGAAACTGATGCCAGAAAGTGTAAGTGGCTTGCTCATAGCTTCACGTCTAGTAAGCAGTAGTGCTGAGATTCAGACCTAGAATTTCTTCAAGAAAGAGGTACCAGAGGGAGAGAGAACATCACATTTCTAGGAGAGGTTGGCCAGAACCTGCCAAGATCCCCAGAAGGCAGCATTTTCTCAGTCATCCCACATGGGCCTACTGTCTCCAGGATCTGTTCAGTATCTCAGGGACTCAAACTCACATCGACAAGACTCACTAAAAGCTCACGCACAAAACCAGATTCCGACTTATTAAATTACAAGACAATGCAGTAGTCAAGCTAACCAAATATGGACATAATACTTACGTGCAGAATTCTGAAGGACAGCCTCATGAGTAGAATTTTGACTGCAGAGGATAGAATCAGACTAAAGAGACACAGATCAGATTGCTAACTGGCTGTAGTCTCTGACAGTCACAGTAGGGATTTCAACCTGGCTGACTGGATCCCTGGACCTACCTGAGAGCACACTTTCTTATTTCACCAGGCAGTACCAGAATTTACCTCCCTGTCTCCTTCCTAGGCCCACATGACTAATTGCTATTCTTTCTTTAGATATTTTAATGACTTCACCTAAGTTGTTTTGGCTTAAAATTTAGTCTTTCTCTTTAAGGTGACTGTTCTGACCACTTTCCTGTTGACACAATTTCTTAGCTTCAGAAAGCAAGTTTAATTCCTGTATTTCCAAATTAACTGTTGTCCTTGTACACTACCTATAAGATGTATGCCCATTTGACTCTTGTGCTGACATTGATAGGTTAACAAGAACAGAACAAACACAAGAATAGAAGTACCAGTGCTAAAATACAGAGTTGAAAAATACAGCACAAGTTTTTAAAAAGACAGTATTTCTAATTAGCATAGGCTCACTGTGAATCAATAGTGCGTGATGCATTTATCAAGGAAACCAGGACAGACTTAGCTGTATTAACTGTGTCAACAGAATGAATGAGCAAGTGAATGAATGAAAGAGTTGGTAGCCTTTCCCTAGTCTTCACTGACACTCCATGCTTAGAGTAAAAATGGCATTTTCAGAGGACATCAACAGACTGTAATATATTCAGAGGACGCTGACCAGATGGTACTAGGACTTGAAATCACACTCTGACAAATGGTGGTAGGACCATTTAGCTTAAGAAAGAAAAGACCTGGGGGGGAATAAGAAAAGCAAAGAGTTATTGAGTGCTTACTGAGTGCTTATAGAGTAGGCCAGACATTGTGCAAGATCCTTTAATAGATTTCAAACATTATGGGCTTGTCATGATGTAAAGGGAATACTTTATTTTGAGTTGCCTTGGAAGGCAGGGCTGACAGTAGTTAATAGAAATCACAGAGAGACAACTCTGTTTATTAGAATGATGACATTTCTAACTCTAAGAGCTTTCCAACAACAGAATGAGCTGACTTTATGTAAAGGGGTCCATGTTTTTGAAGATGATCAAGCAGAAACTGGTCAAAATTTTATGGAGGTGTTTTGGAGAGGAATAAGTATTAAATGGAGGCATGGACCAGATGAACTCTAAGACTTTGTCCAAACTTCTCTTGTGAGTCTATTTGCAATACAACAAACCTCTTATTTATCTTTTAGTTTAGTGGCATGAGCCCTAAATGGTTAATGTCACTTCCAATTCAATAGATCAATAGGATATTGATTGCTCCCTTCTTTCCTAGCAACGAAGACAAAGTCCAGGACAACCCAAATTTGCAGAGATGGAAAAAACTTTGTGAGCGGGTTCATTAGGTATAATATTTAGCAAAAAGTGATTCACTTCCTCATTTGATCCCTAAACCCATGTATTCTGAGTATGGCAGAAACATAAACATGGTAACTTCTTCTCAAACGGCTTGAAAGCTTCAAATGTTAGTAGCATTCATTTCTGTCTTTGTATTTAAATGTAATGATTTATGCTTCTGAAACCCTGTCTGACTGCATTCCTTATTTCAAGCTTTGTTATTGTTAATGAGTGCACTTTGAGCATCAGCCCACCTGTGCATTCATGGCAATTAGTGTCACATCTTAAGAACTGGTCCTGTGGGGGCTTCCCTGGTGGCGCAGTGGTTGAGAGTCTGCCTGCCGATGCAGGGGACACGGGTTCGTGGCCCGGTCCGGGAAGATCCCACATGCCACGGAGCGGCTGGGTCCGTGAGCCATGGCCGATGAGCCTGCGCGTCCGGAGCCTGTGCTCCGCAACGGGAGAGGCCACAACAGTGAGAGGCCTGCATACCGCAAAAAAAACCCACCAAAACTGGTCCTGTGAGTGGGGAAAGAATGAATGTCCACTGAAAACGATCAAAGAACAATAAAGTTTTACAGCTAAATATCACATATTAGTGGATGAGAAATTCAAGCCCAGAGAGATTAAATGACTTGCCACAGTCGCATGGCCAGTGGGAAAGTTGAGCACTTTTCTTTCTTTTGTCCCTGACTCACTGATGCAATTACATGCTGTTTTCTTGGCTAGATACTCTTTTTCTTTTCCTAGCAAGTAGAATGTTTCTATACTAGTCACCCTTATGTCTTTATTTACAGCCTGATTGACATGTGGCTTGAAAAGCAGGTATTTGAGTAGGATTCCAAACTAGTATTTTCCTTATCTGTATCTTTAGTTTGGTAGGCGGGAATTCTAAGGGCTCCTTTGTTCTTAATTCTGGATTGCTCTTGGGTCTCTGCAGTGCTGCGTATGATGCTGCTCTTGACAGAAATGTGGCCATTAAGAAGCTCAGCAGACCCTTTCAGAACCAAACGCATGCCAAGAGAGCTTACCGGGAGCTGGTCCTCATGAAGTGTGTGAACCATAAAAACGTGAGTTCTTATTTTAAAGCTCTGGTGGTAGGAGGTGGTGAGATTGGGGAAAGAAGATCAGTATGCCAACTTGAGTAGGAAAAACTTTCTTTACTTTGCAATTTTTGCCCCTTAAGATTGTTTATCCTGCCCATTTGCTACATTTGCTTTCATTGTGCTCATGGTAGCTTTCTTCTTAAAAATCATCTGAAAATCATATGGCATGGAGGGGATGAATCTGATAGATATTTCCCTGTTAAGAAATTAACCGTATTTGGTTATCTTGCTCCAAATTAACCAGAGAACTTCATGCATTTCCAAAATAAATTTAAAAAAAAAAACACCCAAACAACCAAAACCAAACCAAAAATATCTTAAAGAACAATATGCTATGTTTCTTTATAAAAATTTAAATTTAATTATTAACAGGTGAAGATTTTTATCTCTTTTTACTTTTAGCTATAGTCTGGCAGTGTCCTCCAACTGTTCAGTGTACACACTGTGCTTTGGCACCTTGCTTTTTGTAGGGTTGGGCAAACGTGCAGGGACATATCTGCAGTGTACTTCAGAACAGGCTTCTCAAAAACATTTCATGGAACTCAGTAGGAATGCATGGGCTTTCTTCACTTCAGAATATAATCTTCTTCAAACACTGGCAAAGGCCTCTAGAATTCTTTCTGTGCTCCTGTTCTTCTTAGTAAGGATAAATGGGAGATAATTCTTATTTTAATAAAGACAATTAATAAATAAATTATAATAAATATTTTATATATAATTTATTACATACAAACATATAATAAAAATAAATTATTATAAAACTATAATAACTCCTTATAAAGTTTTTCTTGAGTATGAAAATCACAGAATACATGAAATTATCAGTGAAGTTTTATAAACAGGTGAATTTGTCATAAGGTACTAAGTAGAAGCAAATGTATGAGTGTTTAGTTCAAAGATATTTAAAATAAAAATATGTGGATTTAGGCCCAATGACAGTGTTTCTTTTTCCTCCTATTACTCTACTCCAACGACTTTTTAGTTCAGTCATTTGACACTTAAATGAATACAGTGTTCCAGGTATAGATCTAGATGCTCTAGGTGCTAAACATACAGCAGTGAAGATAAGAGAGACAAATCCCTGCCCATGCGATGCTCATGTTCTACTGGGAAGAGAAAGGCAGTCTACAAAATAGGTAGGTCAATGTTTAGAATGTCAGATAGTAATAAGTGCTACCAAGGAAAACAAAGTGAAGAAGAAAGATAAAAAATACTGGTCAGTGCAGAGTGGGTAGGGTTACTCTTTTAAATAGGTTTAGCAGGAAAGGCCTCACTCAGAAAGAGAAATTTTATGAAGTATGTACCCATCTCTGATTTGGCCAGGCAAGGAACATGATACTTCTAGAAAGGAATATAGAAATGTTAGAAATGAGGATTCCTAAGAAAGATTCTGCTAAAGCACTTTGTCCTTTCAGTACGTGAAATAAAGGCAGGAGCAAGATTAACCACATGACCAATGCAATCTATTTTTATGATAGCAAAGAGGATGAGAAATACCATAGGCAATGGAAGATGGATGGACACAAGCAATGAAACAACTGCATGGGAAGTTTTAATAGTTTTTTGTTTTCATATATTGAATATTTATATTTCCCTAATCCTCCCTCCAGTCCCTAAAATGCAATAAATACATTGTGGAGAAATTCCCACTTACTTTGCCAATTTGAGGGAATCCTACTCCCCATTCTTGACTGGAATATGGGGGTTCACATTTATGTTACCTAAAAAGGATTTCCAAATTGAAATAATATTTTGTAAATGGCATCCTGCCTGCTATGTGTGTATGTGCATATGTTTGTGTATGTACATATGTTTGTATGCATGTATGTATATAAATCTAGGGAAATAAATTTCTGGAACTTGTTAACAGAAAGGAAATTCACTGACAATCAAATGCAAATTCCACGTTGTTGCTTGTAATACTAACTACAAGCAGTCAATGAAGAACGCTGGAAATGCTGTGGAAAGTAATGTGAAATAGTGAAGCAACCCCAATTAAGTTTTTAATAATAAAGAAGACAATCCATTTAGAAAATGAACACAATTCTAGGAAGTGATAGCTGTTATGATTGTGGGGCCATGACAGATGTTGATTCACATCTGTGCGTTTTAATGGGTTGGAATAAAAAAAAGGAACTGCATCAGATTCCTGCCTGAAAATGTTTGAACTAAAATGGAAATACCTGTGATGGTCTGTTTCTAAAGATAAGATTTTTGATTGGTTATTAATAGGAGTTAGGATTTATAAGGGATCAAAGAAAGAACAGAGGAGAAATACTCAGAGGAAAATCAAAGACAATGAAGGTGTTAAAACAAGGGCATAGAAAAGGGGAATACAAGAATATATAGTGGGGAATTTACTTTTTAAAATAATAAACCTTGACTTATTTAACACTGTAATGCTATTTTCTAGATTAATTTAGATTACCTAGATTATTTATTCACCAGATAATATGGATTAGCATTTTTTCATCTTTAAGGGTTGTTTGTACGTGTTGTGTGTCCCACACACAGTCTCTGATGTTTTTGTTTGAACAAATATCAAAATGAATTACTTTCTATGATTAAGTATTATAAACACAGGCTCACAGTTCCAATGAGAACTGTAGACATTTTTCAATACACACCATAACTAAGTATACAGAATAGCAAAGCACTTTAATCACAAGTTTTAAAAATATTTTGAGGGACTTCCCTGGTGGTCCAGTGGTTAAGACTCCATGCTCCCCGAGTAGGGGGCCTGGGTTTGATCCCTGGTCAGGGAACTAGATCCCACATGCTGCAACTAAGACCTGGCACAGCCAAATAATTAAATATTTTTTAAAAATATTTTGAAACAGTTTTATTTCCATATGCATATTCCATGCTGCAAGGTTGCTTCAGAAGAGATAATCTTGTGTTTTTTGATATGTTATAACAATTACCCTGTATATATATGTATATATATATATATATATATATATATATATATGAAAGTATTGGATAGTGTTGTGATTGTTTTTCTCAGTAATTCCTCAATAATTGGAAACTACTGAAGGCCTAAAGCATTCCTTAGATTGACTGCATTTCTCCGATGTTGAAAATCATTTTGTTTTGTTTATTACTTCGTGTTTCTATATCACTTATGAACTTTATTGAAATTCATTAGTTCATGTTTTAAAGATGTACACATCTTAAATTTGTTTTTGTGAAATGGTTGCATCCATCCAATGAGTAGAGGTCTGTTATCTATATTTTTTATTTTTATTTCCCACTGGCACTTTAGTACAGAATATTTAGCTGAAAGACAATTTTGAGTTATTTATGAATGTAATCTATTTGCATAAAACAAAGGTTTTTTCCTTTTAACATTTACTTATGCTAGAAGGTAAACTTCTTTACTACCTAATATATAAAATAACTAAAGCAGGAAACAAAAAAGTTAAAAAATCATTTTTATAACTTAAAATACATTTGCCGTTAAATTCATCATTGATATCATCCAAGATATACCTTTCCCCACACATACCATTGGAGCATTAGTTTAAATAATATTTGAGTGTGAAATAGAAGCAAAAAAACTAAAGTAACAACACAAAAAAATCTTGACTTAGAATACCTCCTTAACATAGAACATCTCCTTGACTTAAACTCCACCTTTTCATTTAGAGGAAGACATAGCCTTGCTAAGTCTTGCTGGTTATTTCACTGCTGCCTTACTTTTCTTACATGGCTTTTCCTCTTTTTTGTTTAGTTACATTACAACCCTATATTTACTAAGGAGAATCACACTCTAAAGCAATATCACAATCATATATCTTTTGTGACTCTTTTCTCTGCCTAAGAATTTGAGCTTTTTAATTGCATTTTAACCTGAAGACAGATTACATGTCCTTTCTGAATATGTTTTTGAATGTTCTATGAGACAGTTCTAGAAAATGTTTCTGACTTTTCTATATCCACCATAGCACTAATATGTGACTTTGAGTTGGAATAAGTGCTTGTTTAAATATGCTTTTTAAATAATTAATTTTCTCCCCTTTTCTTTCTCTCCTTCTTCTGTCCCTTCCACTGTCTCTTCTCCAGATTATTAGTTTATTAAATGTCTTCACACCCCAGAAAACGCTGGAGGAGTTCCAAGATGTGTAAGTAACAAAACTCATGAAGGAAGGGGGAGCATAACATTCAAATAACTCAAGTGATATTGACAAAAATCAGATGAATGAAATCCCTTGTAGAGATCAAAGGGAGGTAAGAACTGGCGGCAAATGAAAGGGATCCAGTGACAGGAGAGAAGGTTCTGTTTCTGCCGCTTCTTCCTGGAAAGACACTTCTGCTACTTTCTGGCCTTATGGCTCTTTGTGCTTTGTTGCCCCATGTTCTTTAGTTCAGTCAGAATCAGGGAAGGCTTACTAGTTATTCTATATTTTTACTTATTTTTAATTTATTCTGTGAACTTTCTAGACTGAGTCAATTCACTTTAAGAAATATTAATGACAGACACGATAAAAAATCATCCTTAATCTTTCTTTCTATTTTTGTGGTACCTTTGATTTTGTGCAAAAAAACCTTCCAGAAGTATAATGACAATAAGAAGAGGAGAGGAAGTGAATCCTAGCACATTGTCTTATTTAACACAGATAACTTGCGTTTAATGGAAGATGCTATTCTGAATTTTTTTTTCTTATTTGTAATCATAATACATGGGAAAGAGTTCAGGGAATTCAGGGTAAAATGAGAACAAGATGAAGGTACAAAATATATGGACAGGAACCACACACTAATAAATGCTACTTCTATTAGCATCTTTGTGGTAGAGTTACCATGGCTAACGTGCATGCAATACTTGGAGGTTTTTCATATACTTAATTCAGTCAAAAGTTGAGCTGGGAAGTTCGGAAACTTATAGATTTAGGAGAGGATCCTGACTTGTTTGAAGGACTTCACATGTCTTGTGATTTGGAACTTACAATGTGGATTTACCTTGCAGTTACTTAGTAATGGAACTGATGGATGCCAACTTGTGTCAGGTGATTCAGATGGAGTTAGACCACGAGCGAATGTCTTACCTGCTATACCAAATGTTGTGTGGCATCAAGCACCTTCACTCTGCTGGAATTATTCACAGGGTAAGAATACTTAGTCCAGAATTATAATGAAGATGCTTGTGGAGAAGAGAAAGAGCAACTGTAGGTTATTTTCTTTATGTAGGGGAGCTTGGTTAAATATAATGTACTTCATTTATTTTACTATAGAATTAGCACATAGTTCACTAATGTGTAGGAGGAGACTTAAGCACACTGTAGTTGGTTTTGTTTAACATTTCGTTTTAGCTCATTGAGAGTCAGCTTCCAAGGCTTCTCAGAAATTCTGACTGGCAGAGTCATATGTGCAGCTGAAACAAGGCAGTTCATTTCCAATGTTTCTGGTCACATAAAGACAGCAGCCCTGATCTGCTCTTCTGTCTGGCCTAGAAATGAAGTATAAACTAAAAGGTTTATGTTGCCATAAGGAGAAACCTAACATGACAATAAATGATGTTTTTTTTCTAAAAACCTCTTTCCAAGGTGAGACTAAATTGTAAAAATGATACAATTCTCTTCTGGGTTTAAAAAAGTTTCTGAGGATGTTAAAACAAAGAAATCCCAAAACTAATTTTAAACTTCTTTTGGGAAGTACTCTTTTGCTTTACATAGGGCTCTACAGTCAATGGCAGGCGGGCACCCATCAGTGCTATTGCAAGACTGCCATGTTGATTGAGTAGATGGAAATCACATGTTCCATTTGATGCTAGCTTTTAATATCTTCTCTTGTTCCTATTGTCAGGACTTGAAACCAAGTAACATTGTAGTCAAGTCTGATTGTACATTGAAAATCCTAGACTTTGGACTGGCCAGGACAGCAGGCACAAGCTTCATGATGACTCCTTATGTGGTGACACGTTATTACAGGGCCCCCGAGGTTATTCTGGGAATGGGCTACAAGGAGAACGGTAAGGATGCTTCTGAGTACCAGCCAAAGAAACTGTGAAGAAAATGAGTACGTGTTTTAGATAGCCAAGAGTAATGTTCTCTCTCATGTATATGAACTTTTTAAAAAATAAGGCTGCCAGCTTTCATATTCAGAGGTTTTTAAAAAAATATTACTACGAAGAACCACTCATTAAACATGTAAAGGATGTTTCTGAGAAGTAAGCTTGGTTAGAAGAACACTGAAATGTCATAGCCAAAAAGAATTGTAAATGGAGTCTGATTAAACAGTCAAGTGGATACTGATTAGCATACATGCTATAGATATTGAGAAAAATTGCTATTTAGGTGGCAGCTCAGCTCAAAGTGAGTATAAACAGGAAGAAATCTATCTACTGCATTTAGCCATTTGGCTTTATGTCACTTCTTAGATTGATGGCTCTAGTCTTAGGAAAAGACAAATAAAAAGATACCACAAATCCTTGGAGCAAGAATATTCACAAATGCTCAATGCACAGTCAATTTAGAATAATCCAAATTGTTCAAGTTGGATAAGAATTTCTTTAATACTTTAAAGTGTTCCACAAGTAATAGTTAAGGTAGCAATTACCTAGTAAGTTTTTATAAATTCTAAAACCATAGAGAGAGAAAAGTATTAAATTTTACGCTATTGATTTTATGAAGAAAATCTAGTATTCATGAACACTTTAAAAGAAAAAGTAGAATCTTCAAAATGTATTCCAATTTGATTTTATTAAAATGAAGGATTTATAAAAATACTTATTAGAAAGCATTGCAATATATTATTTTGAAAAGAATATCTCTAATAAGTAATGAGGTGTATTAAAAAACACATCCACTATATTTAGGAATTAAACTTGTCTTAAATTAGAATTATATATATGCACTCAATGTACCTTTCATACTCATTTTGATATTCTATTCTATTTAGTTCCTGGCAATCTATAAGTTTTATAGAAATAATTATCATTGTATTTTTATGTGTAGGTGCTGCAGAGTACTTTTATGAAAATTCCCTGGCCACCAAAATTTTAAAAAATTTCTTTGTGCCCTTCCAGATTAGAAGAGAGCCAATACTTTTGTGCATTTGTGCAGAGGAAGGGAAAGGGTTCTTAGGAAGGTCAGGTTTACTTTGTTGGACAATGGCAGAATTCTAATCCATTTTGACTTGGAAGAGGAAAATCTAGTCCTCTTCCCAAGACAATACCACACCTAACTTATTTGGAAAAGAAGATAGTTTTATACATTCTTCATAAGTTATTTTTAAAAAATCAAAGTGGGAATGAATTAAAAAATTCAAGAAATCAAGAATCTACAAGAATCTGGGGGGGAGGGTGTTCTGAATTTGCTCTTATGGATTTTCAGACCTTTGCTGTACAGATGGCATGTGATCTCATCCCTTGTTCTTCCCTCACTAGAAAGGATTGCAAGTTCCTGCCTTAGTTTTTTGGCTTCTCCTGATCCATGCAGAAAGCACACCTAGCACCCTTGTGCTGCTCTCACCTCTATACAGGATAAAGGTTATCATGCAGAGGAACCTGCTTGCTCTGACAACAGGCATGCCCAGCTACCCTGTGCACCGAACCCTGCCTTCCTTCCCCAAGGAGCATTTTAGCCTAATGTTTCTGCCCCAGAGTTCCCTTTGTCCTTACTAAAAAGCGAGTTGGAAGAGGGTAAAGATGGGTAAGAGAAGGTGAAGCCTGTTTTGTTAACAAGTATGACAATTGAGGAACATATGTGTGTAACAACTTTTTAACACTTTAATAATACTTTATTTATGTCATGACTCCTTTATACATGTGCAAATTATTTATGCATCTTTTTCTTGAAATATTTCAAGAAATATTTCTTGAAATATTTCAAACAGAAACAAAAACTGGTATTTATTTACAAGAATAACTTCTGAAGGAAAAACTAAGTCTTGAATACCAGGGATTCCAATATTTCTGCCTAAACCATGGTTCCAGCCATTTCCTAGTTTCTTGGATTTGGTTGCATGTACCTTATTTTGGACCAAGAAAAAGGGGGTCTCTAGTTGCCCTATTCCGTGTAACTGAATAGAATAGAAAATGGAAACAGCCATCCCTAAGGGTCTATTAAGATTATTTTCTCTGCATCCAGCAAATGACATCGAAAACCCTTTGGTGGCTTTTAACTGTCACCTGGCATGGAGATACTTTTGATTAAGCTGCTGCTTTTCCATGTTACCATTTTATGGCACTAAAGGGCAATCTAAGGCACTCATAAAGTAACTTTAAAAATTAATTTGAGTTCTTATACTAGATGTTGTTTATGTGATATTATATTGCTGGTTTTAACTCACCTTTTTGGCCAACTTTTGGTGGGAGACAAAATTTGTACCTTCTAATCAAACGCTTCTTTTTCCTTCTCCTTCAGAGATCAATTATCTTAGTTAACTTTACTTTCCTCCCTTTTCTTCACTTCCCTCTCTCTTATTCTAGTGGATATATGGTCTGTGGGATGCATTATGGGAGAAATGGTTCGCCACAAAATCCTCTTTCCAGGAAGGGACTGTATCCTTGTACCTTTTTGCTGCAGCCTTACCTGTTTTGTTCTCTCTCCCTTTAAACACATAATGATTTTGCCAGGAGAGTAAAGATAGAAGCAAAAAGTTGGGTAAGTGGTATAACTGTGACTAAAAAAAAAGTGATTATTTCTCTAATCTGACCAGTACTGAAGACTACATACCTCAATGGTTTGTTTTAATTAAATTTTCAATGGGTTTTTTTCTTCTTAAACTTTCTTATCTGTAACTCAAAATAGCAGTAACTATTTGCAAGTATTATCCATCTCCCTTCTAAAACCATTTTATACTGCAACAAATTTAGGCATAATTATTTCTCTACTTGCTGACATCTTAAGCTTCTGTCCATGCCTTTATTGATTTGAATTACTCTTGACACTATATCCAGTCTTAAATAGTTTAATATAGGACATCTTCCTTCAAACAAGAACTTCCACACTTAAAAATCCTAATTATTATTCAAATTGCTGGAGGTCAGGTGGGTTTAAAATAGGCTTTCCTCATCTGACTTACAGATGTGACTTAGACAGGCTTTTCCAATGAAATTTAGAATTAAAGAAATGAAATATACAATGTGAGAAGTATAGTCAATTAAAAAAAAAAGCAGGTTGATTTGTGTTCTACCACTTAGTCTTCTACTAGATTCCATCAGAAATTTCTTGAACAGGTATCTCTGATTTGGATACCTGGTATTTGGATACCTGGTATATTTCTGAAAGGATCAAAAGTTCACTCTTTAACAAAGGCACATATAGGTGTTTATAATATATCAATAAGAAAGTTTACATATTAATAGAAAAAATATTTTTATAAATACAGAAATACCCTGTTAAACACAATTGTGCAAATCTAAGTACAACAGCTGAGAACTTTAACAATGATAATGCAAGAGTGAGTTCAATAGTTTTTAGAAATTGGCAGTAAACATGTGATCCATAACTATTAAGTATTGTATTTGACTAATAAGAAAGCTCTATTAAGAACTCTTATAATGTAAGAAAGATTATTATTGTTATTTAGTAGGAATAGAAGAAAAGGCCAATGATAAAAAAAATCTGACAATAAAAAGTTGATGCCACAATGACCATGCATTTAATGTAGGCATTTATTTATTCTGCTGTATATGAATAAGATATTCTCTAAATTCCAATAGTAATATAATAGTAATGACATCTTCTACAACTATACTATCCAATAGGTAGCCACTAGCCACATTAGCTCTTGAAATATGGTTAGTCTGAATTCAGAGGTGTTATATGTGCAAAATGCCTACTGGATTTTGAAGATATAAAAAGAAAACATGTAAAATATCTCAATTTTTATATTGATTATGTATTTAAATGATAATATTTCATTTTACTTTAAATTAGTTATTGAATTTATTTTGAGGATCAATTACATACAAATCAATTACATACAAAGTTGGTTTGAACAATATTGTAATTCACATTCGTATGTATTGATTTCATACAAAAGTAGGAATTTGTGTGTGTGTGCATGTGTGTGTGCTTTTGTCTTTGGGGTACAGTACATTTCAGATTGAAAAAACCCAGAACTTCTCAATCAATTCCCAAAGACAAAATGTTACAAAATATCTCATTCCCGTGTGACATTGTTGTTACAGTCACTTGATTCCCATGTAGCATGGTTCTCTGAGATCTAATTTAGCTATTCAGGCATTTATCAGGGTTCTTTTTCTCTTATTTTAGCCATATTAAATTTAAAAGCCAATAAAATTAGGAAAAATTAAAACACTTTTGAACCCAAAATACCCTTCAGATAAACAAGCAAAGATAATAGCACCATATTGATAATTCTACATTCTTCCAGAAATTGTTCTCTTGGAGGTCAGTTTTTCCTTTTATCCTAGTTTATTTTTTAGAAAAATGTTTAGAACTTTTAAGTAAATTGTGCAAATATCAATACATAAAATATATATCTTTGATAAATATGGTCCTAGAAATTAAATAAACCCCAATACACAAAATGTAGATTGTGATAATGGTTTGTATTCTGTATTCATTTATCTCCTGTGATGATTATGTAAACTACTGGTATCCAATAGCCTAGTGCCATATATTGCTGGCCTATAAATCAGTGGGGAAGTTACATAAAGTCATTATAGTGGAAAATATCTTGCTTAAGTTAAATTTTACTTAAATATGGGTAAATAACTTTCAGATGAAATGCATTGGAATTCATTTTGCCTATAATTAAAATTATAATTTAATGTCTTAGTCATGACTATATTTAAAAATTAAACTAAACCATAGAAATCCCTATTAAACAATGGAATACATGTACTATATGTTTTTGAGTGGAATTGTTTCATTAATTTTTACATGAAGTTATTATCATTTTGTGATTAGAGCTTACTACCAATAATAAAGAGATCAGAGCATTGAAGTAACTTCACTAGGCCATGATGATCAGACACAATTTGGGGGCTGATGGAGCTTATTTATAGGGAGAAGAATCATACCAATATTTTAACATATTGAAATGATTCCAGCATTTACTGGAAGTAATATCAGATTTTAGTATATGCTACTTTATACCTTGACTACTTCCAAAATTCTTCCGAGACTTAAAAAAACAATCTAAGTGAATAATTCACTTAGAATTATTCAGAGTAATTTCTGTTGAATTTCTCTGAAGCTGAAAAATGATGTTATAATACTCTATCATCATAATCAACATTATTCCTCTCTCTGAACAGAACTTTTTAATGCTCCTTTTTTAAAATCTGGACCCTAAGTAAAAGTAGTAAAACACCTTGAAAAATTGGGAAAATCTTATGAAATTATCATTGACGACCAAAGTTTTAGCTATTTTCCTCTGTTAAAATTGTATTTAACATTTTGGATTTTGAGAAACATTGTGTGGGTTTCTTGACTATTGATACGATCCAGATGGTATTACAAGGTAGTTTCTTGATGACTAAAAGTGTTGGAACCTACATACATACATATTTACTTTTCGATTTATTAGTTTGCTAGCTTTTTTAATATCCAAAGGAACATTTATAAAGTGTTTGTTTTTCTTGTGTAAAGAGTTTCTTAATTATATAAACATACACTATTATACACTCAATTTTCATTATGGTTTTATGATTAAAACCTATTTCATAGCATATATGCTGACAAAATATATAGTATCATTAATAATTCTTGGGCCCATGATGAATTTCAAGCCAGAGAACAATGAATATGCCAGGTCCATTATTTTATTTACATAGTCCAATGATCATATAAGAGGCGTCAGTGACTTTATATTTCATTAAGATTTTGGTTTTTTAAATAATAACTTATAGTAAAGCAGTTTTATGATACTTCCTTAGAAGTTTTTTTTTTGTTTTTTGTTTTTTTAAAGGACTATCTAGTTCCTGACTCCTTCCATCCACCCCACAACCCAACCAGGGCATGCTGTTTTCTTGATTACTGAAGTCTCATATAATACCAGGATAGTTTTCATATAATACCAGTTCTTTCCTTAAGCCTGCTTCTTTTAAATATATTTTTCTACCTTATGTTTTCCATTCTACTTCAAATGGTAGCACCTTTTTTGAGCAAGGTCTGTGATATTCCTTTATTTTGAGTTCTGGCCAAAGTTCTCTGGACCTGGGAAATGTTAAAAATAGGCACACCATATTCATTTGAAACTTCTGGACCTCAAGCATATTATCTCCAATTAAAGCTGACAGATTGCTAAAACATGGCCTCTTGCCTTTCCCTCTGAGAACATGAGAAATTTCAGTTAGAAAGAAAAGGATGTACATATAATCTTTCCAAGAAGCCAGGTTATTAAGGAACAGAGAATGATTTGCCAAAAATATATTTGAAGAAATGAAGAAAACATCCTCATATTAACTGACTATCATATCTTTTCTAAACCTGAACAAATGAAAATTGGGAATAATCAAAGTAAGGTGAACAAAAATTGGAGATTGTGGATTATTATATCCATCTAGTACAGATAGATATTCTTAATCCTTCTTCCCTCTTTGAAATAACTCTGCTTACTTCCTAATAAACTTTTGCAACTAATACATTGCTATATTCTGCATCTTCTATCTAATATTACGGTAGTACAATGTTATCTCAAATAATATATAATTTATGACTTTAAATAAAATTGGGATGTAAAAATTAGTCATTCTTTCACACCCATAATCAAATTGCCAATAATCACAAACATTTGAAAAAATAAGAAAAATTTTTTCTTTGTATTTGCTAAAAAGAATATATTTTCACCATGAATTTGTGAATACTCTTCTCTATTATTATTACTTTGAGAAAATCAGAGTAAGGTGGGAATCACTAGAATGGGAGCTGGAGATTCTGAGGTGATCTGAACAGATGCGAGGAGGACAGAGTTATAAGAGCAAAATCCCTCTCCCAAGAAATTTAGAGTAGGCCAGAATGTAACAAAGGGCAGGATAAGGCATGAAGGTGTTAAAAGGAATTGAGAGAGATACACAGAAAGGGGGCAGAAAGTAAGGGAAGACACAGAGAACAGGCTTTGGGGGTGGAACAGAAGGAAGAAATTGAGGAGATGGACCTTGACTCCTTGATGCCTTGGAGAGGAGCTATTAAGTGACCATGGACAAAGCTCCACTAGGACTGCTGCGTCCCCCAGGAGTCCCCTGTCTCCCGGAAATGGATATAGAAAGGTTTAAAAGCATATTATTTTTCCTTATCCCTCTACAGTTCTGTAGGCAGAGTACTGAAAGATCTTCAAAAATAAAGTAAACTACTTGAGGGGGTAAAACTGCAAACAACAAAACACATTCCTTAGTCACTACTTGTTCTATTCCATTCAAACTGCCCTTGGCCCGATTGGCCCTTAGGACAAAGTTTGTGAACAGTGATACCTATTGTGGACTCTTTCTCCCTTCAGCAGTCAAATGAGTCTCCAGCGCATAAGGGCTACAAGAACTTACTCTGGTCCTCTTAGCTTTAGTCATGTGACATCTCCTACCAACTTCAA